TAGTCACCACAGCTGGTCTAGTCACCACAGCTGGTCTAGTCATCACAGCTGGTCTAGTCACCACAGCTGGTCTAGTCACCACAGCTGGTCTAGTCATCACAGCTGGTCTAGTCACCACAGCTGGTCTAGTCACCACAGCTGGTCTAGTCATCACAGCTGGTCTAGTCACCACAGCTGGTCTAGCAGGCATGCGTCGCGTGCGCTATGCCAAGCCAGACTCGGAACTTTCTCTACGTGTGTGCGTTTCATGACGTGCACGTGTGTGGAATACGTATACATGTGTACGTGATGTGTCTTGGGATACGTGTACATGTGTGCCTGATGTGTACGTGTTTACGTAGGTATACGTTTATGTAATGACGAGATAACCTTTACGTGTAATGTTATTCTGAGCACGTATGCGTGATAGCGTGTTCATGAGAACGTGTAAAGAACACGAATGCGTGATGGTGTTCATGAACACTTACATGCGTGCGTGGTACGTATACGTGGGCACGTAAGCGTGTGTGTAGGCACTGACGTTGTGTACGACAACACACATGTGAGGTCACGTCTAGGAATGCATGTCTGACAGACGTACGAACTCAACTACTCGGAGTTTGTGTGCTTGTTATATCTTACTGAACCTTTTCGGATATTTTATTAACATTGAAAGTTTTAATTCCAATCAGTAATTAAATAAAATTCTAGATGAGACAAATTTCTACGGTTTATTTAAATATAATTGTCATAGTTGCCATGGATGCATTCGCGTGTCGTGTTCAGGGCTGAGCTTCGTACGTCAACTGTGCTGGTGCGTGTTGCGCTGGTGCGTGTTGTGCTGGTGCGTGTTGCGCTGATGCGTGTTGCGAGCTGGTGCGTGTTGCGCTGGTGCGTGTTGCGCTGGTGCGTGTTGCGCTGGTGCGTGTTGCGCTGGTGCGTGTTGCGCTGGTGCGTGTTGAATCGGTTCGTTGCGTCGACGTGGCCCTTTCCTATTGTCGTTGATTTTATGGGAAAACCGCGTGGGAAGCGAGGACAGAACACAGAGTTGATATCTTCAGTGAGTCGATATCTTTAAATATTCCCGTACATAAACTGTAACAATTAGTAGTACGAGTACACTAGTTTCGTGTATTTGCCTAGTGTATTTAATAGCTAGAGTACCCTTGTGAGGTACAATAGTTTCATTTATTTGCCAGGCAGCTGTATTGAGTACTCCTGTGAGTAACATTAGCTCACGTTACCTTACATTTGCCAGACTGCGTAATATGTATGCCAGACTGCGTAATATATATGTCAGACTACGTAATATGTACGCCAGCCTGCGTAACATGACCTTACGCCTGTGAACGTGTAATGCTATAGGACGTTTTAGGGGCGGCCAATATTCCCGCGACTATTGGCCGCCAATAACGCGAACATGCTTCTGTGCGGAGAGAAAAGGCGTTAAATGCGTACGCTGTTGAACTGTAAAAGTTCACTTCGGCGAGGGATTGATATTATGAGAATGTTATATTGATGAGCACTGATGAAAAATGTTAATTAATAATTACTGATATTTAGTATTGCTAATTGGTAATATTTAAATAAGATAAAATGACTTCACAAAAAAACAATGAAGGGTGATACATAAAATAACAATGAATTTCAGTTGCACTCGGGAAGACACACGTGCAGTTTTAGTTTATTTTTGAGTGAACGTCGAAAGAAAATATGTTCAAAAACCAAGGAATTAGAGAGTAAAATCAATTAAAAAACAAACATATTTCTAATTATTGCTTTGAGTAAAATCTAGAATGAATGCAGCTCCGTATTTCTAGTGATCCTGATCCATTTTAATAGTGCACTAGCAGGCTAGCCCAGCGTTGCCCAGGCTTGATAATCCCTGCAATTTTAGAATCCCGTTATCCTGAATCCCTTCAATCGTGTTGTCTGTTATCCCGTTTATAATAATAATGAAGCATATAGGCATGTTTAATGAATCATTGAGCCGTTCAAACCCAAAGATACCATGAATTTATAGAACTCCCAATTGACTCTTTTTTCAAAATATAAAAAAACTAGTTTCTGCTTTTTAATTAAATGTATCAGTGGACATTGGAAAATATACTGGAAATTTTTTGTCTTATCCCTATCCTCTCAGTTTTGCAATGTCTTACTACTCTTTCACTATGGATAATTTATCCGATCTTGGTAATATACCGACGCGATAAATATCGTGGATACGCGCTCAAAAAGACCATTAAAAATAATTTTATATCATGGCGGTGAGAGACTTCAATCACCTACAAACTATTTCTGACAAATGTATAGATTACTATTCATTACATTCTTGCTTCATCACTACCAGAACTAAGGTAATTATCTTACTATGGACACGGAGAACAAGGTTTGATTTTATAGATACCCATGAGTTACGTACATGTTATTCGTTATTATGAAATTGCGTAACCTTAACTAAAAAATAATATGAATTATGAAATTTCAAAGTGGGAGTAGGATGAAGTAAGTCACGTTAAGCTTTGGAATAAACTGCTGCCCTGACCTTTCATGCAGAGCACGATGCGCAGGCGCGACCCTGCGGCTTTCTTGCGTTTTTGCGCATACGGGCGCTGTCTTGCATGCGCCTAAATCATGCGTGTTCGTCGTGTTATCATGTACGTCTTTCCTTACAATGCTATTCCTACCAGATGTTTTTTTTGCGCATACGTGCGCTGTCTTGCTTACAATGCTATTGTGCGTCTTCTTGCTTACGTGCGTCTTCTTGCTTACAATGCTATTCCTACCAGATGTTTGTAGATGATATGGTTATGACGTAGCTCATAATTTTGAAATATTTTTGTGACATCTCTGCACTCAATCTCCACGCTCTAAACAAACCATTCTTCTTATAAAGGAAATTGAATTACCTTGAAGAAAATAGTGATATTTTGGTAGAATATGTATTGGTTCTGACATTTTGGCCAGAACTTAAAAAAGTTACAATGTTATTTTGTATTAAATTGCGTGGTTTTAAACATGAGGTGGTGAACTTGCTTGCATGTAAATTTGAAAGAACGGAAATTTTGTTTTGGTCTATTGGTTATTGCAGTGTTGATGCTAAATAACTGTTCATAATATGAACAAAATAAGCGTATGGGACCGATAATTAATTTAAGGCGTAAAATATGTGACTTTGTATAATAAGAATCGATCGTCAGTACGTTAATTTCCTGTTCATTCGTTTGTGCTTCACGTATTCATGATCAACATTATTAGGTAAACAGTGCACATAGTCACTGAGACAGAGTTTTCACTGAGCCGGCCTAGCATCATCGTTGCATGGCCTCTGGACCTAACCTCAATATCGTGATTAGCGTTGCGCTGTTGATGACACTCAAAGAAGAGGCCCACATGTTTGCATGTGCACTGACGCGACATGTTTGTTAGGCTGCCTTATCATATCGCTTGGTTGGTGATTGTGCTCTGCAGATTGAGGTTTTTCAAGGCATAGTACCTGATTTGCTCAATGCCGTTTAGTGTTTTACGCTTTGCATCTAGTAAAACATCTATTTATTCACTAGCAAACTTATGTGAAAAGTGTCCTCGAAGTTCGGCTGAACCAGACTCCACTACAATTTGCTTCTTGTAATAATAATAGTAATAAACTAGCACTAGAAGCATTAAACGGCATAATATGACGACATAGTTCACTTGGGTTGGAAGTGCCGCTCTACTGAGGACGGTATAGGTACTTAAATCATTTAAACACATGCATGTTTTTATTAAGAAATTAAGGCCATTTAAAAATATGCATATATATAAAAATATGCATATGTATAATCGAATTTATAATGTTTAATCTTTCAATTATACATTTATAAATTTATGAACGATTTATAATTTTCAAATCTATGATCAAATTTATAATCTTAAGAGAGTCAGGATCCAGCCTCATTGTATAAAAACTTTTGTGTGCATATATGGGTGAATTTAAAAAAAAAACTGGTACCGAATTTAGTGAGAAAGTAGAGAAAACTTTGAATTCAGTTATCTCAGCGCTGAGCCATGTTCCAAGAGGGGATCATTGTCCAATAATTTATCTATACCAATAACTGTGCAATAACTGTGCAATTTCCGGAAAGAAAAAGACTGTGATGTGCAGTACAATGCGTAGCTGTGCAGTGCGTGGCGACAGGAGCCGATTTTCCCAGGGCTGTGATATGCGCGTCATGTTTGCATTAAATTCGCACTCGCCTCATCAGAGAAACTTCGGAATTCTTCTTTGTCTGAAAATTGCCAGCGTTGCCCAGGCTCGATAATCTGTAGTATAGATAGACCGGGATTATATACCATTACGATTATATACCATTTATATTATGAGGCGTTTTATTAGTAATTCTAATAATCAAACATTCGCGTTCATTTAAAGGTCATGCATCTCGCAAAATGTATTTATAGGGCATGTTTTTGGTGGATATATTAATTTATGGCTTAGTAAGACTATAGTGCAGGTTCGTTTTTTCGGATATATAAGAATTTTGTATAATAATTGTCATTTTCAATTATTGTGAATTGACAACACTTGTCACTTTATAGTCAATATATTACTGCGTTTACTTTCTGGACATCATTCGTTTTATTATTGATATTTTATTTTGTCTATTCAAAACAAAAAATAAGTTTGTTTCATTCTTGTACCGGGTGGGACGAGGAGTGTGTTGTGTGTGTATAATTATGGTAACAATAGTCATCGGCAGCCTTATTCATGACGTTGGAAGAACGACAAAAATCTCACGCAGAATATTTCCTCCCGTTTCAGGCACCGCGCTATCGCCTGTGAAACTCTCATCGTCCAAGTCCATCTGTCCCGGACCCGCGTCGCCGGACCCGGACGTCGCAGCCATGAACCTCTACCGCGGGCTGCCCGAGCGACACCCGCCGGCACCGCGTCAGGTGAAGGCCGAGTCGCCAACCAGCGACTACGGCGATGAAACTTACGACGCCGGCGATCCTCTGGAGACTGAAGGATACTCCGTGGGACCGAGCAGACCTAAGAGTCTGCTCACATCCTCCCAACAGGTCGGTAATGTTGTAGGTTGTGGAGGGAGATTCCAGGTATTATAGGTCTTAAGGATTACAGGTCTTAAGATTTGCCAGAGATACCATCTGGCAGCTCGGCAGCTTTTCTTTACTCACTTTAATTGTTGTCAACAAAATATTGCATATTTTCAACGAAATCAAATGCTTCAGCATTCATTGTGTTGCAGACGAACGGGTGCGCGAAGCCCCGGTACTCGTTTTCATGTCTGATTTTCATCATTATTTTCAATTCTTCACTGTAATTGTCACCAACAAAACATTGCATATTTTATTAGAAATCGAATTTTTAACTCATTCGTTGTGTTGCAGACGAACGGGTGCGCGAAGCCACCGTACTCGTTCTCGTGTCTGATTTTCATCGTTTCTTAAATTTTTTCACTATAATTGTCTGTCAGCAACAAAACACTGCATATTTTATATGAAATCGAATTTTTAACTCATTATTTGTATTGCAGACGAACGGGTGCGCGAAGCCACCATACTCATTCTCGTGTCTGATTTTCATTGTTGATTCAATTTTTTCATTATAATTGTCATCAACAAAACACAGCATATTTTTTTCGAAATCGAATTTTTAACTCATTCGTTGTGTTGCAGACGAACGGGTGCGCGAAGCCACCATACTCGTTCTCGTGCCTGATCTTCATGGCTATCGAGGACTCAGAAGAGAAGGCGCTGCCCGTGAAGAGCATCTACGCGTGGGTGCAGCATCACTTCCCGTACTTCCGCACCGCGCCCGCAGGCTGGAAGAACAGTGTCCGCCACAACCTCAGCCTCAACAAATGCTTCAGCAAAGTCGACAAGTCACCGGTGAGTCCCAAGGAGCTTTGGTAGGTAATGGGTTGCCTGCGAGGTCTCGAAGAGCTTGTGTTGGTACTTGGTACCGTTCCGCCTGTGGGTCTCCTCAAGGAGCTTTGGTTGGTAGAAAGGCCTTTGGACCTTTAGTTGGGTCGCCTGTGGGCCTTAAAGACCTTAGGATTGCCTGTTTGTCTCGGGGAGCTTTGGTAGGTAACGGGTCGCCTGAGGGTGCCGAGGAGTTTTGGTAGGTAACGGGTCGCCTGTGGGTGCCGAGGAGTTTTGGTAGGTAACGGGTCGCCTGTGGGTCCCGAGGACCTTTTTGGCAGGTAACGGGTCGCAGTCTCAAGTAGCTTTGTTCGATGATTTGGCCCGTACGGGGGCGATTCATCACAATATATTAAATGACATTTATGTGAATATTCATTAATATATGCTGCGATATCATTTTTCATACACAAAATTTTCATGCCACAAATTCTCTTTATCTTGGATAGTCAAGAACATATTCCTTTTACTTTATATTTTTCGATCGCACGATAATCCGAGTACATCAATTACTAAGAACCTCTTGACCTGGCTAGGCTCTGGGCAAAGGGTCGCTGTGGATGGTGGACCCGACCCACCGACCCAACCTCCTGCAGAGCCTCAGCAAGGTCCCGTCCCAGCCCCCCGGCGGCAGCGACAAGGTCTTCATGCTCTCCACTAGACCGGCCGTCGCCCCCAGGAACAGGTAATTTATCTGACCCAAACTGGGAATTGGTTATTCTGAAAAATTTTATATTAACATCCCTAGGAATTGCTTATTCACCAGACCCAACGTCTTCTGGAATTGGTGAGTCAATAGACCTCACAAGTGTTGAGGTGTTGGTGCTGATGGAAGGGAATTACAGCGATAAGAATAGTTGAAAAAATTTGTCTCAAATGTCAGTACCTAGGTTCAGGCTGCACTCCTGTGCACCATTTTAACGAATACCTCAGCAATGTCGTGCCCTCCGAAGAACCGCATTAGTAATTCGATTCAGCATGAAATTCATTAAACTGTGTTTCATTTTCAGGAACCAAGAATCAGTCAACAGGATAAGCATAGGAAGCGCCATGCCTCGTCCACTGCCTCAAGCAAGTTATCTTCCCTCCGTTGGAGGCAACGGCCCCGGTCCAAAAATCAAGCCTTTTAACGGCACTTCACAACCCACTTCTTCTTCCGGCCAAAGTTACGATCAAAATGTCCCCGTTTCCTGCACCGGTTCTTCTCTGTTCGCCAAAAGCCTACATCAACGTAACCCAGTCGCTTCAGAGCTGCCAAGGGACATGCACAACTCTTCCCCGGGCTTAATGTCGACCACAAACTCCCCTGACCCCACACTCTTCCCCTTCCTGGCCCGCCGTTTAGGGGGTATCGGGCACCAGCCTTCGGCCCCCTCCGATAGGGACTCTTATTCTCCCTTGGATATTAACTTGGAGAAGCTGGAGGGCCTGGAGTCTCTGCAGGGGGTCGGCATCGAGGATGTGGACGCCGCCCAGGCCATGCTCACCCTCAAGCACGGCCACCGGGCTATGGCCCCCCTCCAGGGTCAGTGGCCCAGCAATTTCTGTTGATGCGCATTGAGTGTGCGTGAAAGGGACTTGCGATTGATGATTGCGACTTCCGTGGGATGACTGCTCGTGACTGAAACTCGCGATTAATGACTGTTCGTGACTGAAACTCGCGATTAATGACTGCTCGTGACTGAAACTCGCGATTAATGACTGCTCGTGACTGAAACTCGCGATTAATGACTGTTCGTGACTGAAACTCGCGATTAATGACTGTTCGTGACTGAACCTCGCGATCAATGACTGGTAATTACTTAGACTTTTGTATTGATGTTGGCGCACGAATTAGTGTTTTCATTCGATGAATTATTAATTTAAAAACATTGATTTTGGACTCATTACAAAGTTGCTATACATTCTATGCAAATTCCGTGATTAAAGGAAGGTCTTTCATATCGTCATTTTTATTCACTTTTTTCATTAAATTGCCCCCTCGATTACAAATTAATTACTCCCTTTAATTAGGAGTAATCCAATTGTTCTTCTATCTCTGCGATTCAACCAAACAACGATTTGCCTTAGGTATTGTTTAAATTTATCAGTATTCAACACCTCAATCTCAGAATCATCCCTAATTTTCGATATTTTTCAAGTTATGAATTTTGGATGTCTTTAAAAATGGGAATGTTTCTTTAAAATATATTTATATTTTACGGAGTGATATACAATTTTGGGTGTCTTTTAAAATGGAATGTTTCTTTAAAATATATTTGTATTTTACGGAGTAATATACATATGCATATAATTTGTTGTTGGGCAGGGGCGCTGATGTCGCTGCGTGAGGGCGTCGCGCGGCGGCAGGAGGACGGCGTAGGGCGCCACAAGAAGCGTCCTGAGGCCGCCCACGTGGTGAGTCATCGTGTATCCTGTAACAATAACATTATTCCCTTTGTAACATCCATTAAATTTAAGAAAAATGATTGTTTTGCACAAATATTACATAGGCAAATTTTTCAGGCTGCAACTGACGCTCTCCCCGAAAAATTGACATCGTCTGGCGGCTTCGGCTCGTCTCTGGTATCTTCGTCGCCCACTTCATCTTCGTTCTCATCGCCCTGCTCGTCCACCCCACCCACGCCTCCCCGGGGATCGTCCACGGGCCGGGCTCGGGGCCGGGCCCGAATGGCGCCCCTTCTGAAGGGCACGGACGCCGGGTCTCCGACCTCCAGCGTGGATGAGGCGTTCTCCGACGGGTCCTTCGAGAGCGACGCTGGGTGCGTAACCCACGTCAGATCTCTTTGGCGTGGTTCATGGGTAGTTAAATAGTAACTTTGATTGTATTTTAATAAAAGTAATTAGTGTATTTCAGTTAATTTTGGCTTACATGACATTTTGGTTTCAGGGAGGTTGGCCACCACTCGCCATCAGACTTCCAGCAAATGGTGGATGGGGCGGATGCTCTTCTAAATTTCGCCGCGCGAGCGACGACTTTGATGCCTCAGTTGCTCATGGGTCGCGTGGCTGACGATCGGTCGCCTCTTCCAGTCCTCCGAACTCCAGTCATGTCGCGGCCTGATTCTGCCGGGACTGTCGATTCTCCCAAAAGCCGATCAAGAGACACTCACTTCCTCAAACAAGGTTCGGAAAGACTCTTCTCGCCAATACATAACACCCATACCGGGCCTAATGACGACGACTATCTCTTCTGCTCGGAAACTCTAGAGCCTCTGCATAAAAAAGGCCGATTTGAGTCCCAGGAGGGAGGAAGCCCCATGGCTTCCCCAACTTCCGTGTCGCGGTTTGATGACGGACGAGACGTCAAAGTTGAATTTGGAGGCTCGGCTCCGGACAGACCGGAGGCCGAGTCGGCTTATCGCAGGCACCCATCTCATCTTAAAGGATCCTTCGCCCCTCGCTCTTCTGCTCTTCTAAAAAATGTTTCGCCGAAGTCAGGCAGTGTTAACAAACCCGTGAAAAATCAAATTATGAGCAAATTAAGCAAACCCAAGCGTAATCCCGTAACGAAAATTAGTCGGTAGTGAAGTGTCAGGCGGTTTTTTCTACCGTCGCTTGAAAACTCAAACCTGATGCAAGACTCGCGAGTATCTCTTACTGTACAAAAGAAGCTTAGTTCAGTCGACGAGCCAACCACTGCGCTGCCAATTACGTTCTGTAGATAAAAGTGGTTGACGTGGACAGACTGACGTGTACAAAACGTGTGAGGGCAGAAATGGATTATATACACAAGGTTACTTCTACTTCAGGAAGATTTAGAGCGACAGTTGAATTAAGAAGTTTATTTATTTCTAAAGTGGAAGAATTTCATGCTATTGAAATGAATTAAATCAGAAAAGAATTCAAGGGAAGCAACAAATTGCAGTGGATTCTTGCCAAGGGCTTGAATAACATGGATGAATATTATAAGAGTTTGATGTGGGTAGAGAACTTCTGAGCAACTTTGATTTATTTCGCTAAGTGTTATAATAATGATGAGTTCGAACGACAGAAACGGTGGCGCGATGAGGAGGAAATGTAACGTTGCATGGACACAAATGCGGTATAGCTTAAATTCTATGCACTGAGCTACATAAAATGTTCAAACTATAGCTGTTGTAATATTGTTATGTGCTATAGCTTAGGTCCGTTTATGGGAAACGTCTCAGATATGAAGAATAAAAATAGAAACCCTATTGCATTAAATTTCTTACTTATCTTGAAAGGGAAGATTGATTACATGATTCAAGGCGACTTTCATTAATTTTTGTTAAGAAATTGTTGCAATCTTGATTCGTTTCTTAAACAATGTCCATTTCTTCCATACTTCTTCTTGATTCTTTTGACATGCTCGTTAATGAATTTTCCATGCCTACGTTATCTGTTGACTTTTTATTTTCAAGTTCCAGCAAATGTTTCTATTAATAACGGAAATTTTCAGAACAAATATAACTCGGTACTCACTGCAGTGAGTGACAGAGAGCTCATTTTCTTGTCCGTCCGTGAAGTTACGGACAGACGGACGGACGGACGGACGGACATGACGAGCACAATAGCGCCTTTTTTCCAGAAATGATAAAATGCGCTAGAAATATCGAGTTTAAAGTACTGACTGGAACTTCTCTTACAAAATGTGCAATTTGAACTTTGTAAAACACCGTATACTTCTCACATACGGAAGTATTGAACCGTTTTATTGTTACATAGAGAGTTGTTGAACTTTTCTATTGCTGCTTGAGAAAATTGTGACATTTAACTTTGTCAGCGTTCGGTTGATGTTGGGCAATCGATTGAGGAAATCACACGCTAGGAAACCATTGATTGAGGAAACAATTCCTTTATTTGTATGAGGTCAGCGAATCGGAGGCCATTCTCGCTATAAGTAAAAATTTTCTAGGAAAAATAAAATAATACGTTATATGAAAACTTAGAGTTGAACACGCCCTCTTCTTACGATCATGATATTTTCAAGGTTCTTGCGGTAGGTAACCTTTGTTTATGTGATGCATACACCAGGCGACCAATTCTGTGTGCCAACGCCGCGGAGACGGCAAGTCCTTCCTGGCTTTTTACTAACGACCAAGTATGAGAGTAATTGAAAACGCTTGCCCCCGAGAAGCCTAGTGGTTGAAATGAAATTATGTTAACTCAACTAAAAATATAATTTTTTAAATATTAAGATGCAGCATTGAAATTTAAGTATAAACTATGAATTGGATAGTAGGAACTTTAGAAATAATAATATGGATTACAATAGGAAAATTTTAAAATCATGGGGTCTGAACACGAGCTATTGCTCATGTGAAAAAAATTTGTGCTCTAACCTCATTGTTTTGGCCAACTTTGTGGGAAAGTCTTCATGTTTTAGTTTCATTTGTTTGGTTTGCATGAAAGAACACTAGTGCTGTATTATTCGCTTGACGCGAGCGACTACAATAATATTTGTATGGGGCGCGGTGTATTGGATACGCCCATAGTTTAACGTGCCAAATGAATGCAAGTTTGGGACCCGTTTTATAGTGATAATTATTCTACCCTCGTGATGCTCATCCCGGGAACAAACTTCTGGTCACAACTGTACTTGTGCACTGTACATCGTATGACATGAGTACATGTACATTGTGACTCGAATTGTAATGACCGTTGGTTCGGGTGACGCGAAAATGATGTGAATTATTGAAATATTTAAGATAGTTGTAACAATGCTGTTACTGACTGGTAATGGTTTCTTCTCAAATGAACGCATGTATAATTTCCAGAAACGCATTAAGTACTCGGATTATTCGAAACACAATCTTTTTATTTGTTTGAAATGTGTCTGGAAAACACTCTTCATTAAAGGATGCCTGAATTTCATGTGTATTGACATTATTTGACTTATGAGTGTAAGAGAACTAATTTCGTGATTATTTTAAACTTACCAAATTGTCTATAAATAAAATATACCCTAAATTAATGCATGACAATATATGTTGAACTTTTGGCTTCAGATCTACTGCAAGTTCACGTTGATATTCTCCTCGTCTGAATGAAACAATGAAGTCGGTCCTCCGACATAAACAAGTGAAAAGAAGAAACCAACTATAATTCAATATAAGTCAATGCATTGGGTGAAAAATAAATGCCTGACAGTTACTACAGTTTCTGTGTCCCGGATACCGAGTTATCGTTTCTTGTTCGACTCCCACCGAGTTGGCAGAAATGTTATCTACCAGATGTAAACTTCATTCAATTCTTTCAAGAAATGTTTTTCTGATTATGAACTTGTTCTTATTCTAGTTGAATATGAGAAATTGTTGTCGCTTCTTTTTTTTTAGCTCACTTCAGGTAACGATTTTTTCAGATTCTTAAGAAGGGAGTGCATATTAACGGGTGTCGAATTTTTTCTATGTCGTGTAGGAATTCCATAACTGTTAGATTATCACTCGAATTTTGTCGTAGACTTTGGTTAAAAAGTTTAGGACTGAATTAGGTTAACACAGGTGCCTTAATAATTAGAGTATTTTCTTTGCTTGATATTGTATTTTGAATCACGTATTTCGGCATGATTATATTATGAGTCGGGCGCTGTTGGATCAAGTTTTTCTGATAGTCATATGATGTTGTACTGAGCTATGAATTTGTTCTCAACACATGTTATTAGTTATCTTGATCACCGAAAGTCCTCAATATTGTGACTGATTACAAAAGCACAGAATCCTATCGAATTTGACCATCATTGAATTTAATCCTTAGAATGAGCCTTGCCGGGTCGGTCTTCATAAATTTATATTGCTCTTCGTCTTTGTATTCGTGTATCGTTATCTTTTATATCATGAGCGAATCATTCTTGTATCGTAACCATCATACTTGAGAAGTTTTAACCCTCATTTGATTCTTCTATAATTATTTATTAATCAAACAACAAAGGATAAGAATCATTCAATTTCGTTTCTGGAAAAGACGAGAAGTCTGTCCGTAATATATGTATATAAGCAGGTCATCTTTATCTTTCAATATACATCAATATACAGCAGGTCATCTTGTATTAATATACGAATTATCGTCTTCTTTTCTTCGCAATGTATGTAAACAATTTTGCGGTACAAAATCAATGCATTATGTCACATCTTATCAATGGGAATTGTCCTCAATTACAGCAATTATATGCAACGAACTTGGATGGGTAAACACAAGAACGAACCTCATGGCTAAAGTACGTTTCATGTCTACTCTAAAACTAATGACTTGGCCTTCCTACCTGCGAATCACTGCTTCTTGTTGCTGCTCCTCTATTGTTGACTTTTGAATAACTCTATGATTTGTGTCGGTAAATGCGTGTTATGTAGTAGCCTTACGGAGTTTGTGATTGGTTGCAACCAAATGTTCGAGGCCTTATTTGAAACAGTTTGTGTCGTTCCCTTAACCGTAAGTTACTCAATGTCGCCACACGCAGATATATTGCCGCGCCGCAAAAAATGTTTAATGCCTCGAAACAGGTATAAATGATGACAAAACTTCGTTATTTATGACAGTTATGACAGTTATCTTGCCTTGTTCGGCTCTGTTGTGCAACAAAAGAGCTTGACGGTTAAGAATAGTGGTTGGGTTATGGGTGTACGAGCTTTGGCTACTCAAAACCACCGACGACAATCAACGTGGACACATTTTTCCAACAACTGAATTTAAGTGTAGATTTACTAAACACAATGGATTCGGGTTTAAATCATATGAAACCTACGTGATTCTGGTTTAGATAACTTGAGATCTACTGGATTCTGGTAGACCTCAAGGCCAAAATGATCTACCAGAATCCGGTAGATCTCAAATGATATGATCAGGCGACGTCAGGGCTATTCTTCAGCGTCGACATCGCTATGATATGATTATGACTTATAAGCTTCCCTAAGACATACTCATGGGTCGGTAAGCGTAATTGTGCATAAATGCTTTTTGTACAAAAAAGGTATAATTGTTCATCTCTTGATGACTTTACGAAGACATGATATAAGGTTGTGGGAAAATGCGTTTAATTGTAAGTTCTAAACAGGCTCTGTGAGAAATAGGTAATTTTTAATTGTTTTTGACGACATCTTTTAAGATGGTAGCGCCTCAATGAAGGGAGTATTGAAAAAAGCCCTTAATCATCTAGGCAGGCATATTTTAATGGGTTTAGTTAAAGCAAATCTCCTGATGATTTTCTGTTAGAAGAATTAAGTGCAATATTAAACCTAGTAACATTTTTTGCTCAAATGGTTAACCTGATTTTATTTCGCACGAGGCGGCTTTCTCAGCCGTTAGTTTGACATTTTTAGCTAACCGCTTTCTTCATCATACTAGTTGCGAAGGACAGAATAGTTAGAACTCAGTTATTATTTTATAAAGACAGAGAATGTACTTGATGGAGTGTAAATTCCTTGTCTTTACTAAGATTTTTCAGATTTGTGCTTTCTCGTTTCTTCGTCTCGTCGGAGGAAGTCAATTCAGTCCTGACGCTGAATAAGAGATACGAATTTATTAAAAAAATCATCCATGCTTGACTCCAGAGTCCGTCAACATAAGTTTCTGTAACAAAATGTTTGAGATGTACGACGTAGAATAAGAACTAGTGATCATCGAGTGAGTTTGTGACAGAGAGTAATATATTCTGCATGAACTGATGCAATTTTAACTATATTTAATGTTCGTAGAACGAAGTTTAAATCTTGTGCGATTTCGGAAGCATAGGGTTGAAAATGGGATTTTCAATCTGCTTTGTTTTCGCCATATGTGTGAAAAATTTTCTTTGAGCTGTCAAATCATGAGTTTTCGTAAAGTTTAATAACATGTGCGAGTACAGAATATGGTTTACCATTTGAAATTTCTGTACTATATTTCAAAATTTCAGTTGAAAATCAAATTAAACCTTTCGCATTGCTACAAGAAACTATTTTTTTTTTGTAGTAGAAGCCAGCTGACAGATAGGGCCTAAAAAACTTTTCGCGTTGCACCGAACGGATTTCTTCCTGAGAATTTGATTTGCGCAGAATCGATAAGACGCCTAAATACGTTCTTAATTGTAAAGAAGTGGCCTGCGAACCCTTTTGTGTGCATCAGGCCCTCCTTACTGCTTTGCCTTATGACATAATTTCCCAAAATGTATTTCGTTTAAGTTTACAGAAGTTTAATTAATCTCGTACTGTATGCATAGGACAGTACAACTTAAGTTATTTGTATATTCAGGTACAAAATTTTAGTATTCTGAGGAATGCAATTTTATCATGATTAATGTTGGGTGGTGTCAAATCAAGTGGTCCTTTCTGTGCCGTCAGTGCCATTTCACCTCCGCTGAAATGATTGTACATGATGTAAGCTTAGATTTACAATGGCAAAAGAAATAGTAGAATCAAATTCTCTTCGGCAATTTCATGGGATTTAATTATGAACCAGTTGGGAGATTTTTTTTATA